CTGCTCGTGCGTCGAAGCTGCACCGAACGTCCGTCGATTCGAGCTGACCCAGAGCCGATCCTGAGCCGAACCTGAGCTGAACATGTGTTTCTTCAATGTTACCCGACCCCCCCCTCACTGGACATGGAGCAAATTGAGGCCTTCGGGTTGGGTCGGGGTGGTTTGGTGGGTGGCGAAATCGTCGAAGGCCATTTCACTTCTCAAGGAACATGTCAGCTCCACCCTGCACCGAATCGGAAGGCCGTAGTGGCATCGCACTCGGCTGGATCGCTGCGAATCGAACCGACAATTGAACCGCGAGGGGGAAAAGAAGAGGAAAGGAGGAGGCTAAACACTCTGGAGGAGGTTTCGAAAAAGAACCCTCTTCTTCCTCATGGTATAGTGCACTTCTGCCCAGTCCCCTACGTGCCCAGCTTCCTCTCTTACCAGCAACTGAGTTGCTCAAATCGCACCGTCGTGCTCCACACGTGCGGCCCTTGCAAAAATCTCGCACTTCAGGCCGCTGCGGTCATGTGATCAACCTGGGAGCACGTCGTCCGGCGCCCTGGTTGGGCCCAAACCAGCCCTGGTTCGCAAAGGAAAAACATGGAAGAGCCAGACGCTAGGACGACACGGCAATGGCCACAATAGCTTTAGGTCGGGCGTGTCCCCCTACAGACGGATTTTGGAGGAAAAATCAAAAGTAGCCAAAACAGATTCAAAAAGCATGCAAGAATAATGAAACAGTGTCCCCAGACTATGTTTTGACTATTTTAGAATCTTCCTCCTGCGGACGGACACGCCCGACTGAAGAATAGCTAATCTAAGATTTGCACAGATGCCGCCTCACCGTTATGCCATGTCTCCGTAAGGTCACAGCGCCCAGCATGATATGTACAACGCCTTTGAGGTCGCCTATCGCAACTTCTCTCTGATCTCGGGCGCTTGCGGCTTCTCGTGCGATGCGTGTCCAATGGACGCGCTGCAACTGATTGCCACTGATGTCCAATGAAAAGCACCGTTTAGAGACTGGCTCCGTGGATGGAAGCACTGAGGCCTTGCTACATCCGCTCCACTTGCGCGGGGGCATGCTCAGTGCCTCTGTGACGCTCCTGCGTTCCCGAATTCCACGCTGCCCTCCTTTAAAAAGATGGGGAGAAGGGAGAAAGCAGGTCGAAGAGAGCATCGGCCTCCTCCTGCTCAACCTCCTTTCCTCCCCCCCCCTCATTCTCGACACCGCAAGACAAGGAGGGGCCTAAGGTCTGAGACTCGATCGTTATTCTTCTCCTCCTCCCCCGACACCACAAAGCTCACATGACGAGCGCAAGAGGATCGAACTGAAAGAAGCATGGCGGAGGGGAGCTGCAGCGGACGTCAAATGCGCCCTTTGTGCTACTGTCTGGCTGGCAACACGCTGCTCGAAACGAATGTCATCTATAACGTCTCTACCGCCGGCATCACGCGCTCTTCGCCGCATCTGGCGCAGCGCCCACCATGCCTGTGTCGACGGCCTTCTGAAGGATATCTCGATAAAGCTCGTACTCCTGAGGTTCCACACAGAGCTTGAAGTCAACGAGACCAAGAAACAGCCTCTCCAGATAATTCAGCTCGGTCAGCGTGACGCCGCCAACCTGGCTGTAGAATTTGTTGCTGAAATACGTGTCGTCGTAGAACTTGATGGCGACCACTATGCTGGTCAGCACGAGGCGGTGGCAAGTCAAAGGGCTGACAGCGATCCACGGGTGCCGCTTGATCAGGCGGTCGAGGTACACCAAACTCAGGACAGCGCATCCTGCACTGCACCGGGAGAGGCGCAGGAGCCTGACCACATAGGCCTGGATGCTGATGCCCGGCGGGAACTTGCACTCGAAGGGCGAGCGGCGGGCCGACGCCGCCGGCGCCGCCATCGCGCTCATCTGAGTCAGGAGCCTGCCGAGGCCCTGCTCGACGAGCGCCTCCTCGGTGAGCGCCAGGCTCGGCGGCGCCGCGGGCTGGCACGCCGCGGGATCTGAGGGGCCCATGTTCCACCACCACCACCAACAACATATGTAGCAAGGGGAGGAGGAGGAGGAGGAGGAGGAGTAGGAGGAGGAGGAGGAGGAGGAGACGGAGGAGGAGGAGGAGGAGGAGAAGAGGAGGAGGAAAGGGGGAGGAGGAGGAGGAGGAGGAGGAGGAGGAAGCGGAGGAGGAGGAGGGAGGAGGAGGAGGAGGAGGAGGAGGAGGAGGAGGAGGGGGAGGAGGAGGAGGAGGAGGAGGAGGAGGAGGAGGGGGAGAAGGAGGAGGAGGAGGAGGAGGAGGAGGAAAGTGAGGAGGAGGAGGAGGAGGAGGAGGAGGAGGGGGGAGGAGGAGGAGGAGGAGAGGAGGAGGAGGGGAGGAGGAGGAGAGGAGGAGGAGGAGGGGGAGGAGGAGGACCTCATCCTACATGTATGGTAAGCGGTGGTGGAGAATTGGCCCGTCAGGATCGGCCGTCGCGGCGCTCGGGCCCTCTGCCGGCAGGAGCGAGCCGCACGGGCCCGGGCCGCCGTCCCCCGTCTCGACGGTGCGGAGCCGCGCCCTGCAGGGGCTGCAATCCCCCGCCTCGGTGGTCCGGCTCGGGCTGCAGTCCCCAGCCTCGGTGCTCGCCTCGTCCCAGGCCTTGCCGTCCTGGCCCGCGGAGGGGGAGGAGGGGGAAGAGGAGGAGGAGGAGGAGGAGGGGGAGGAGGAGGGGGAGGAGGAGGGAGGAGGAAGAGGAGGATGAGGAAGCGAAGGAGGAGGGCAGCAGGAGGAGGAGCAGGAGAAGGAGAAGGAGGAGGTTGAGAGGAGGAGGAGGAGGAGGGGAGGAGGAGGAGGAGGCGGAGGAGGAGGAGGAGGGGGAGGAGGAGGAGGAGGAGGAGAAGGAGGAGGAGGAGGGAGGAGGAGGAGGGAGGAGAAGGGGAGGAGAGAAGGAGGGGGAGGAAAAGGAGGAGGGGAGGAGGAGGAGGGAGGAGGGTGAGGGGGGAGGAGGAGGAGGGGGAGGAGGGGGGAGGGGAGGAGGAGGAGGAGGGAGGAGGAGGAGGAGGAGGAGGAGGAGGAGGAGAAGAGGGGAGAAGGAGGAGCAAGAGGAGGAGGGGGAGGAGGGGGGAGAGGAAGAGGAGGAGGAGAGGAGGAGGAGAGAAGGAGGAGGAGGAGGAGCAGGAGGAGGAGCAGGAGGAGGAAAAGCAGGAGGAGGAGGGGGAAGAGGAGGAGAGGAGGAGACGGGGAGGAAAGGGGAGAGGAAGGGGCAGGAGGAGGGCGAGGAGGAGGGCGGGAGAGGAGGAGGAGGAGGAGGAGGGAGGAGGAGAGGCAGAAGGAGAAAGAGAGGAGGAGGAGGAGGAGGTTGAGGAGGAGGAGGAGGGAGGAGGAGGAGGAGAGAAAAGGAGGAGGAGGAGGGGGTGAGGGAGAGGAGGAGGAGGAGGAGGAGAGGAGGGGGGAGGAGGAGAAGGAGGAGGAGGAGGGAGAGGAGGTTGAGGAGGAGGAGGAGGGGAGGAGGAGGAGGAGGAGGGAGGGGGAATGGAGGAGGAGGAGGAGGAAAAAGGGAAAGAGGAGGAGGGAGGAGGAGGAGAAGGAGGAGAAGGAGGAGGAGCAGGAGGAAGAGGAGAAGGAGGAGGAGGAGAGGAGGAGGAGGAGGGGGAGGAGGAGAAGGGAGGGGAATCGGCGATGCATCGCGGGTTCCAAACTGAGCCGTCCTCGTCGTCGGAGTGCGCGGCGGCCTTCGCTCGCCAGGCCTTCCTCGGACTCCGCATGGCGTGGTGCGACCAACTGCCTGGCTGCGCCTCGCCGCGCTGGAGATGCTTCCTGATGCTCGAGGAAGAAAAACGGCAGACAGTGGGGGGTCCCTTCTCCTCCTCCTCCTCCTCCTCCTCCTCCTCCTGCCCCTCCTCGTTCACCGAGCACGCGCTTCACTGCTCAGAGAGGCTAGGCCTCCCAGATGGGGTCCGAGTAGGTTCGGGGAAGCGTAAGACTCGAGTACAGTGGGGCCCACGCCAATAAAAACCCTGCTTGCCTCCAGGGCGCCCTGGGTTTCTTGGGCTTCGATGGTTCTGCTATGTAGAGCGTGGCGCTCCCACACCCAAAACCGACGGACGTCCTGGGGTCTCGGGGTTGGGTTTCTTGTGGCAGGCTTCTGGTGCACTAGCCTCCACTGTAGACAGAAACTTTTGGAGGTCCGCGCGGGTTTTTTGGGATCTGGGCAAGAGCCCCCTCCCTGGCGCACGGAGCGCGCCAGTGGCGGCGCCGGAGGCGCCGCCGGGGGGCCCCAGCCCGGATCCAAGAAATCCGCACGGAGCGCCAAAAGGTGATAAGTATGTTTACGGCGTTTTTTTCCTCGAGATGCTCGTCTTTCCCCAAGCCCTGCGCCCAGAGGTGGGCACAGGCTTGGGCTGCTGCAGCGGCATCGCCTTGTGATTACACAAGTGGGGGGTGGGCAGCGGCCGCGCGCGGGGGAGAGACCCAGGACCAATGCTCGAGCTCTTGGGCCAAAACGGCTGCGGGCAGGCCTTCCCAGGCTGTCTCGGGGGTCTCTTGCGACTACCTCTGCCAGACCACCCCAGCATGACCCGAATGCTCAAGCTTCGGGTTGGGGGGGGGGTACGGGTTGTGCGTTTCTTCCTGTCCGTGCGCCACCCGACGCCTCACCACCCGGCGTTGGACTTTCTGACACCGCGTGGATCGCTCAAACCGGAGCGATCGGAGGCTCTTCGATCGCCAGGTCGCTCCAGCTCGGCCGCCTGGGGCACCGGGGACGCTCCCCCTGGAGAGCCCGCGGCGGAGTCGCCGCCACCTGCCGTCGCTCGGACGTCTGCTCCACGTGCATCCTGTGCGGCTTCGTGCGTGCCGTCTTCGTTGCCCGATGGTCCAGGGTAGCTAAATGCGCGTAAGGATTCACCCCTCCAAAAATGTTGCCCTTCATCTGGGTCCAAGTTCAGAACATCTCTGGAGAAATCTGGATATGGCAAGCACAAATTCGGAGCATGGTGATATTGCCGATGCAATGCGCCGTGCACATTAAGACCCAATGGAGCTGGAACGGCGAACTCGTTTGCCCGTGCCCCTGTCAGGTGGGCGCCATGCCCATCCTTGCTCGTCAACACCAGCTCGTGGTAGACGATCCACTCGGGGTTGCGCTGATACAGCGCCGAACTCGGGTGGATGTACACCTCAGCGGTATGGCCACTCAGCTGATTGACAACCCGTGCCCTTTCACATCGCAGCACGGGGGGGGGACGAGCCATGCAGACAGCGTGCGCAGAGACAGGCGCTAGCGACAGAAGAAAAACGAGGGAGAGAGCGAGAGGAAGGGAGTCTAGAAGGCCATACCACCGATCGGGCGATCGATCCCGCACGCTCCATGTGATCTGAAGGCGTTGATCACCCACCCACCGAGTCTGGCAGCGCCGATCCTGGGCTCGGGATCGACGTATATGGATGCCTACCTGGCAACACCCCAAGGCCGTATCCGCCACCTTGCCTGCACGGTGTGGGCATGTGAGAGTGCCAAATCTTGCTCTGTGGGGCTTACGTAATTCAATACGGAACCCCTCTCCCCATCCCCGAGGCCACGATCCCTCGTAAAAAACATGGGTCCGCGCTCCCCAGACCAAGATCCTTCGGTGATGAACCTGATGGATTCGCGTCCCGCGCTTCCAAGACGGCCCATGCAGGCAGCCAAGGACACCGAGATGGCACAAGATGCCTCGAAGACGGGCCATGATGGCCCCAAACTGGCCGAATATGGGCTCAGCACGGCCCAAGATGCCTCCAAGACGGCCCAAGAGAGCTACAAGAGGTCCTGACAGGGCCCGAAAAATCCAAAATCCACCGACCTCTTGGGGATCATCGGCGTGCGAGGTGCTTCCACCTCCCGAAACCCCTCCCAAGGGAGCCCGGTCCGGTCGACTTGGAGTGGGGTGACCCCCCTGGGACCGGTCGAACGCTCCGTGGAGGGACAGAGGGTCCCAAAACAGGCCAAGAGGACCCCAAGAGGCCCTTCGGACGGTCCACGAGGGCCACGAGTCGCCGAAAGATCTACCCAAAACGCCCACACTGGCCTCCAGAGGGCCCAAGATTCCCCAAGAAACCCCCAAGGGGCGTCCGAAGACGGCCTCAAAAAAACGAAGTCCGTCCAGTTTCCATTTGGGAAACAAATATTTACCTAACAGCGAAGACTGATAGGTTTCTAGTGGGATCAAAAGAGAGCAGCAGATCACTCCACAGGGGGGTCCGGGCAGGTGTTGGGAGTTGCCGGGCGGCAGGTGCCGGGCTCGTTTTTCACCAACAGTCACACACTTCGTGCTCTTCGACTTCCCAGAACTCCATTCCCAGGCCACATTCTCAATACCCGGATGCAACAGTCACACACTTCGTGCTCTTCGAGATCCCAGAACGCCATTCCCGGGCCACATTTAGAATAACCGGATGCAACAGTCACACACTTCGTGCTCTTCGAGTTCCCAGAACTCCATTCCCGGGCCACATTCTGGAGGGCCGGATGCAACAGTCATACACTTCGTGCTCTTCGAGTTCCCAGAACTCCATTCCCGGGCCACATTTTGGATGCCCGGAGCCAACTGTAGGCCACTTCGTGCTCTTCTATTTCCCAGAACTCCATTCCCGGGCCACATTTTGAATGCCCGGAGCCAACTGTAGGCCACTTCGTGCTCTTCGAGTTCCCAGAACTCCATTCCCGGGCCACATTTTGAATGCCCGGAGCCAACTGTAGGCCACTTCGTGCTCTTCGAGTTCCCAGAACTCCATTCCCGGGCCACATTTTGAATGCCCGTAGCCAACTGTAGGCAACTTCGTGCTCTTCGACTTCCCAGAACTCCCATTCCTGGGCCACATTTTCAGCAGGGGCAAGAGCACGACGAGGAGGAGGACGAGCAAGACCAGGAGGACGAGGACGAGCAGGAGCAGGACGAGGAGCAGGAGGAGCAGGAGAAGAAGGACGAGCAGGAGGAGGAGGAGGACGAGCAGGAGGAGGAGGACGACCAGGAGGAGGAGGACGACCAGGAAGAGGAGGAGGAGGAGGAGGGGAGGGGGAGGAGTACCAGGAGGAGGAGGAGGAGGAGGAGGAGGAGGAGGAGGAGGAGGAGGAAGAGGAGGAGGAGGAGGAGGAGGACGAGGACGAGGAGGAGGAGGAGGAGGGGGGGGGAGAGTACCAGGAGGAGGAGAACGAGGACCACCAGGAGGAGGAGGAGGAGGAGGAGGAGGAGGAGGAGGAGGAGAGAACACCAGGAGGAGGAGGACGAGCAAGACGAGGAGGACGAGAACGAGGACGACCAGGAAGAGGAGGAGGAGGAGGAGGAGGGGAGGGGGAGGACTACCAGGAGGAGGAGGAGGAGGAGGAGGAGGAGGAGGAGGAAGAGGAGGAGGAGGACGAGGAGGAGGAGGAGGAGGACGAGGAGGAGGAGGGGGGGGGAGAGCACCAGGAGGAGGAGAACGAGGACCACCAGGAGGAGGAGGAGGAGGAGGAGGAGGAGGAGGAGGAGGAGGAGGAGAGAGCACCAGGAGGAGGAGGACGAGCAAGACGAGGAGGACGAGAACGAGGACGAGCAGGAGGAAGGAGGAGGAGGAGGAGGAGGAGGAGGAGGAGGAGCAGGAGAAAGAGCAGGAGGAGGAGGAGGCAGGCTGAGGCTGAGGCTGTGACTGCGACTGCCGTTGCCGCTGCGACTGTCATCGCGAATGCTACTACGACTGCGAGAACAGCAGAATTCGACAACTGGATTTTCGTCTGAATCTTAAGGGGAATGCTTTCAGATATGCTTCTACACATCGCTGTTAGGTTGCTTTGCCGGGATAATTTTAGTACATTCGCCTCCTGTGCGATGACAACGTCCAAGGCGGCCAAAGAAGCCTTCTAGATTCTAGATCGCCGCGAGGCGGCCCAAGAGGCTCCCAGGAGGGCTCCCGGACGACCCAAGAGGGCCCCAAGACCGCCCAAGAAGCCCACAAGACGGCCCAGAGGGGCCCCAGGACAACCCTAAGAGGGGGCCCAGAGTTGGAACCCGAACGGACATTTAAAGCCTTCGACCCCAAGACGCTCCCCGTTTACCCCAAGAAGCCCCCGCCAGGCCCCCATGGGAGCTCCAAGAGGCCCTCCAAAAGCGCCCAAGAGGCCCCCGGGATCCCCCCAAGAGATTCAACAACTGTGTTGCGTTGCAGTGCTTGCTACCACTGGTTTGGATTTAGTTACATGGCTTTCCATTGTTATGCGCTATACGGCGCGACATGTGCAGTGAACATACCACTCCATCGGAACTATGTTTTTTCGCCTACGCGAAACATTTTTAGCGGCGATCAGGTGAAGCCTGGTTTGAGGCCCGGTCCTGGGCGCGTAATAACTTGGTCGTGTCTCTTTCCTCCCGCTGGGTTGGAAAGTCCAATGTCGCGGTGTCATGGCCGCCTGTGGCGCAGCCTTTGGACCACAGAGCCCAGCCGAAAGTGGGCGAGGACCCGGGGCCGATGCAGGGACCAAGAGGCACTGAGAACTGCTCTGGATTTGAACGCGGCGTCAGTGTACACGTCGGTCGGAAGAAGTAGGTAGATACATGAAGTAGTAAGGCGGGTATAGTGGATTGGGTCCAGGTCCAGGTCCTCCCAAGAGAATAACAAAACACAGCAACAGCATGTTGATTCTTGAAGTAGAAGGCGCTTACAAAATTGGATCTGGGAGTCCAAAAATACCTACTTTCAACGACTGGCGTGTACTTGTGAGGTCGGGTGTCCCTTCGAATCGTAGGCATAGGCACACGCGCTGCTGATCATCTTGATAGCACGTCCGACAGGAGGAGAGGGGGCTGGCGGGGCCCCTGGGAAGGGCGGGGGCCAGGCGGGGCGAAACTGTGCGGCGCTTGCAGACAACAATGTATGCGTTCTTGATATTGGAAAAGATGCTGATGATCGTGCAACTCAAAATGTTTGCCAGGGGCCCTAGACAGTGGGTGATTAGACTCCCCATGTGCGCTCCGACAATATGTGTGACTAGAACCATCGCGCGCGCTTCGCGCGCGCTCAAGTTCTAGCTAGCTTTTTGTGGCCTCCTAGGAGCATCCTGGACTGCTTCTTAAAGTCGTCATGGGACCTTCTTGGCATGTTTTCGGGGGCCTCTTAGAAAAAATGTTGAAGCCTTTTGGGTGCCGTCTTGGGGCCGCTTGGGGTCTTGAGCTTGATTTTTCAGTTCGCGTTCCTTCTCGTGGGCCCCCTTTGGGGTCTTCTTGGGACACTCTTTCGCCGTCTTGGGCGGCTCTGGGGCCGTCTCGGGGCTCTCTTGGGCCCTCTTGGGGGCCTCTTGAGCCGTCTTGGAGCGGTTTTGGGAACCTCTTGGGCGGTGCTGTAGTGCCGGCAGCACATAACAGCGAGAATCCAACAAACATTTTATAAACAATGAAAATCATCGATTTAGCGGCATCGTGAAGGCCTCTTGGGGCGTCTGGGGGCCTCTGGGGCAATTCAAAACGCATCGTGCGGCCTCTTGGGGGCCTCGCAGGGCCTCTTGGGGGCTTCCTGGGGGCCTTTTGGGGCCTCTTGGGGGCATCTTGGGGCGGGGAACTTGATTTTCCAGTTTGCGTTCCCTCTCTTGGGCCCCCCTTGGGGCCTTATTGGGACGTCGTGGGCGGCTCTGGGGCTGTCTCGGGGCTCTCTTGGGCCGTCTTGGGGGCCTCTTGGGCCGTCTTGGAGCGGTTTTGGGAGCCTCTTGGGCGGTGCTTTAGCGCCGGAAGCACGAAACAGCGAGAACGCAAAGACATAGAAAGAACAATGAACATCAACGATTTAGCCCTCTCGGGGCGCTCTTGGGCGGCATCTTCAAGGCCCTTGGGGCGTCGGGCAGTTCAAAACGCATCGTGCGTCGCCAAAGACCGCTGGACGGCGTCTTGGGGGTGTCTCGAGACCGTCTGGGGCCGCCAGGATTGCTGTCTGAGGGCTCCGCGGGGCGATTTTAGGCCTCCCAGAGGTGGGCCCGGCGCGACGGGCCCTACATTTGCGGTCGGGGCTCCAGCCCCCAGCCCCCGGACCCTGTCCCCTATATATATATATATATATATATATAGATGTGTGTGTAAATGCTAACATTGCGGTGCAATTTGAAATGGAATTCACTTGACATGTTTTAAGACGTCAACTCCAACGCGATCGCAAGCACCCCAACCGCTAACCTGCAATGTTTGCCAAAACTCAGCTGGGCGGCGAGACGCTGCTGATGATCATGTTCATGACGACGGCTGGTACAATTCTGACAACGACGGCGGTGGTAATGATGATAGTGATGATGATGATGATGATGATGATGATGATGATGATGATGGTGGTGCTGATGCTGATGAAAATGATGATGGTGATGATGCGCTAACAGATTTAGCGAGTGCGACGACGTCGACGATGGGGATGATAGCTGCTGTGGTGGTGGTGGTGGTGGTGATGATGATGATGATGATGATGATGATGATGACGATGACGATGACGATGATGATGATGATGATGACGATACTGATAATGATGATGATGATGATGATGCTGCTGATGATGATGATGATCATGATGGCGACGACGATGATGACGACTCTGGTAGTGATGACGCTGGCGATGATGAGAAATACGGTGCTGGTGAGGGTGACGAGGAAGTGCTCGAGCACAGACAAAAAACCAGTGAGGCCTCGGTCTTCGCCTGAAGGGGAGGGACCGAGGGAGGTGGGCAGGCGCGAGGAGGAGCAGTCGGCGGTGGACAAACCTCCCTTTCGTAAACCTCCCCTCAGTGAACACGGCCTGGGACCGAAACCGAAGGACCTGGACCCGCAAAAATGACAGCCGCAACGCCCTCTCGCGAACCGAGAACGGCCAATTCCTTGATCGACGTGTCAGGGCAGGAGGTCTATCCACCTCCTCGTCCTCCTCCTCGTCCTCCTCCTCCTCCTCTTCCTATCCACCTCCGAAGCGGAAGCAGGGCAGGAGCGGGCTGCAGGGAAGGGGGGGAGCCAGCCCCCCCATCAAGGGGCGCCTGCTGGTGGTCGGCGAGCGTGCGGTAGCCCTCCTGCGGGTCACGCCTGCAGGCATTGCCGAAGTAGCCCGCGGCGATGCACTTCCGGATCCGGTTGTAGTCATTCCCGCAAGACACGATGACGAACTTATACCTCGCGCGAGGGCGGCGCCACGGCCGCGAGGGTCCCGGAAGATGCGTGGGCACGCTGCTTGTGCAGCGGTTCAGGGGAACTCGACTTCCTGATTCTGCCCTTGTTCATCCAACTGGCCTTAACTGTAGGCGCAAGTCCCCTTATGTGAAGATTCAGCTGGGCCACGGGCAATTGATGGATGTAGCATCCCTATGGCTCCTCTACCTACGACTGTCGTGCCTACGGATCCTGCGCCCATGCCCGTCTACCTTTGTCTCCACAGCTCAGCTCACCATCTGGATCTTCAACTTTGCCTAGCGTGTCATTACCTTGTACTTGCTCAGCGTTGGCTTACCGTGCCTTTCAGAAACCACTGCCTGTCTGGAAAGAATTCAGCCGTTGGTTTGCCGTCCGCATGTGTAGCTTCAGATGCACCATGGTCAAACATGTTTTGCCCTACATGTGCACCAAAAAGAAGTCCAGGGTGCTGCCACGACACAATGGATTCGTGCCAGGATGCCTCATGGGGCTGACGCAAGCCTGCGCTGCCTGCGCATGACTTTCTGGCAATCTCGCTCCATACCTTCCTTTGCCGCGTCCTCCTAATGTCTTCTAAACCCTTCCTCGCTGATGTTCTGGTCTCTCCTCGCCTGTCCTCGCGTGGCACATGTCGCTCCTCTCGCCTGCCTCATCTCGCCGGGGGCTCTGCGGGTCTTGCGAGCTGTGCAAGGCCGGCGAGGGTGGGCCCTGCATGCGATGCGGACCTGCTTGGAGCGTGGGGAGATGCTGGGGACCTTCCTGCGGTGTCCAAGGGCAGCCCTGGGGCTCGCTGCGGGGCGCCGTCGGAGCTTGCGGGAGGAAGAGGAGGAAGAGAAAGAGAAAGAGGAGGGGGAGGAGGAGGAGGAGGAGGAGGTGGAGGAGGAGGAGGAGGAGGAGGAGGAGGAGGAGAAGGAAGAGGAGGAGGAGGAGGAGGAGGAGAAGGATGAGGAGGAGGAAGAGGAAGAGGAGGGGGCTCTTGGCGCTCTGCGGGGGGCGTCTGGGGGGGAACCGCTGTCGAGTTCCTGGGGCGGCTTGGGCCGCGCGTGGCGCGTCCTGGCACTCTTGCACGGCCCGCTCGTCCCGTCCTGGCGCCCGCTTGGGTCTGTTGGGCCGTCGCGGGTCCCCACCGTGGCGTCCACGGGCCGTCCTCGGGCTCCGTGGGGCCCTTCGGGGGTCCTTCGGGGAGCTCCCGAGGCCATCCGAATGACAGAGGTGAGACCGATAAAAAACAACAGAGCACATGCTCGTGGAGCTTTGACATCATGAGGCTTCTTTTGCGGCCGCTTGGGAGCTCCATCTGGACATCTAGTGGCCCATTGGAGCTGTCCTGGAATCATCTTGGAATATCTTGGGCCACCCGGTCATCTTGACCCAGCTCGGAAACGCCGGAAAAGAGCCAGAAAAGCCACCAAAGCTGGGTTCCTCACCCCTGGGGGCAAATTAAGCTGCGAGGGGGGGACGGAGGGGTCGCCGGTACACGCAGCCCTGTAGATTCCATAGTACGATCGTTGGCACATGGACGGGCAAATCCCACCACCCCTCTGGGCGTAGGTGGTTTAAGGGACTTTGTCATCTCTCTCTCTCTCTCTCCCTCTCTCTCTCTCTGCGAAAGCCCCTCCTTCCCCTGCTCGTGGGAGGGGCTTCTCACTGTTCCTGATTAATATGCACCCCCTCCCCAAGGCGACTGGCGTCCAACAAGGAACCATGCCGACCCGCCCCCAACCATCCCTGTCAAAAAGCAATAAAAACCGCACTCTGCCTCCACACTTGGAGCATGCGCGACCAACCCGATGCGGGCCCCCCCATATCACTGTCGAAAAACAATGCGAAGTACACTTTGGGGCCAAGTCTTGAGTCATGTTCGTGAGGCCCGCGAACAATTTGTTTTGTTCTTGACAGGGACGGCGGGGGTGCCAGCATCTTCCCTGCCGTGCGCAGGGCTACCATCCCTGACAAAGAAACAATACAACATGTACGCGGTTAAATCTGGACCATGCGCGGCCATCCCGCGATCACTGTCAAATTGTTTTTGACAGCGACCGCGGGGGTGGTGACGCGTGGCCTGCTGTGCGCAAGCCCACCACAAACAAAGATGGGCATTGGTTTTCGACAAGGATGGCGGGGGCCGACATGTTTCCCGATGTGTGCTGTCACGTGCACAGGCGCACCTGACGCACTCTGCACGTGCCCCGAACATGGCGCACCTGGCGCGGTTGGAGTGTGCGGCACACCTGGCGCACTCGGAGCACGAGGCGCATTTGGCGCACCAGGCGTGCCTGGCAGGCTCGGGACCCAGGGGTGCCTGGCGCGCGTGGCGCCCCTGGCACGCGTGGCGCTTCTCGCCCAAGCGTCGCGCACTTGAAGTCGGCTGTGGTTCCCAGTAGCTGTCCATCCAAAGACGACCGCTGAACATGCTCAGGCTCGGGTGTTACTTATGTGTTGGGAGGGCGGGTAGGAGTAAGCTAGACGGCTTGCGGGCGGGTGGGTAGCTTGATCACTGCTCCCTATTAATAAACACCCCCTCCCCCAGGCGACTGGTAGCCAACCAGGAACCATGAGGGCCCCCCCACCATCCCTTGTAAAGGAAACCATACAAACACACACTCTGCCTCCAAATTCGGAGCATGTGCAGCCATCCCGATGCGCCCTCCTCCCATCATACCTGTCAAGCAAATGCACTTGGCGGCGGCGGCGGCGGCTGCGACGGCTGCGGCGGCGGCGGCTGCGGCGGCTGCGGCGGCGGCGGCAGCGGCAGCGGCTGCGGCGGCGGGGGCGGGGGCGGATGCGGCGGCGGCGGATTGGCCCCCAGTAGCTGCCCATCCAAAGACGACTGCTGAATATGCTGAGGCTCGGGCCAGACTTGGATGCTACGTATACGTTGGGAGGGCGGGTGGGAGTGAGCGAGACGGTTTGCGGGCGGGGAGGGGGTCTTGACCCCTCCCCCTACCCCCTCCCCTGGGCCTGGGAGGGGGGGAGCGCGAGGCGCTCGAGCCCCCCAAGATGGCCCAAGGTGGCTCCAAGAGGGCCTCAGGGAGCCCAAGATGGCCTCCAAGATTGCCCAAGATACCTTAATATGGTTCAGGATAGCCTCAGGCACATATCCAAGAGGCCTCAAGACGGCCTCAAAATGGTGCAAAGTGCTCTCTGAGCGGCCACAATCCTTCAACAACGTAGGACAATCACTGTCTGTTGCCTTCTCGCCTTTTCGCTTCCAGTGGGCTCTTGGGGCCTCAAGACGGCCCCAAGATGGCCCAAGAGAATCCCAGGGAGGGCCCCAAGAGCGCCCAAGAGCGCTCCAAGAGCGCCCCAAGAGGGCCTCAAGACATCAATTGTGAGCCTCTGAGGGGGACCTGGATTTAACCCTCCTTCTCTTTTTGAGCCACGGGGCCCAAGACGGCCCCAAGAGGCCCCCTGGACCCGTCAATGAGCCCCGAGAGTGCCCCTAGACCCCCAAGAAGAGCCCTAAGGAGAGCCCCCATAAGTGCCCAAAGTGGCCCCGCGAGGACCCCAAGAAAAACCCAGACGGGTCCAACAGACCTCCGAGAAAACAGTTCCCATGCGGTTGTTACATTGTATGCTTCTACACTTCCCTGATCAAAGAAACTGGCCTAGTGATCTGTTTCTGGATGGGCTGGTGGGGATACGCGAAGCGTCAAGACTTGAATAGGAGAGGAAAAAACGCCGCATTCGCACCGGACCGGGTCCAAAAGGCGCCCGCATATTCTCGTGCGAAGATGTTCCATACACAAGTCGTCATTTACGAGAATGCCCACCACGCAAGAGGGAGAAATTGGAGTAGGAGGAGGTACTTCACAGGCTCCGTCTCCAACGCACCACCCAATACAATTGGGCAGTCTTGAAACCATTTGTGGCCGTCTTGGAGCACCCTTGGGCAGTCTTGGGGCCGTGTTGGGCCTCTCTGGGACCGTCTTGGACTCATATGTTACAGCCGAATCGCGTATTTTTGGGCACTGCGAACCAAGCGCGCGTGGACACTGTGTGGGCGCGATGTTCCAAGCGCGCGGCGGTTCCACCGCCGTAGCCCATGCAAACCTGCGTGCCCCAAATGGGAAAATGGTGCACTACTAAAAACGTTCCAGACTCTGGCGTAACTGCTGGCGCATGCAGGAGCGACCATGTCGTTGGCTCGACACTGGCGGCACCTGTCCCCGTCGCGGGCCGTCTGCGGTGAAAACCACTTTCGGTCACTCAAACGGCTGGGCCCCCCCAGAGGCCCAAGCACCGAATACATTATGTGTATGGCCGCCGACGCTGCAGTAATATCATAAATCCCCCGGTTGACGTGTACGCCTGAGGGTAACCAATCCTACCCTAACATAGGAAGCGAAACCCGGTTCAGCGAAGCCTGGCTGTAGCGGCAAACCCAGACGGAACGGCAAATATAGCCTGATATGCACATGCATGTGCATAAGTATACGCCCTTGTATCTCGAATTTTGTATTCGGGCGACTGTGCGTCATACCACCTGAACATCATGACGTTCCGCGTAGCTCTAGCGAGGACGTAGCATGCATCATACTGGCGTGGCGTAGTCGAATGCTACCCAAAACATGTAGCCTCCGAGGGTCATAGGAACCTACAACCATATTGGTAGAATTCATTACCAGCGGCTTTGGCTAACGATGGAAACGAGCTGCAGGATGCAAGTTGTCGCATGTCTAGCTTTCTAGTTGGCCGGCCCTTCGGTTTGACATGCGTCGCGTCGCCTGGTCTGCACAAGTTCGCGAAACACGAATGTTTCAAACGTATATTGCCTCAGCGAAAAGTTGACTGATTTGGCGTTAGCTACCTCATATCGTACGTCTATGATGCCCTGGTGCTCGCTCGGCCTAGCCATAGCTGCACCTGCGCCTGCAGCTTCTACACTGGCAAGCTTTACATATGTACTTGCCAGGCGTCGCATAGCTTCACGTGCCTCGAACTTCGCTTCAACGTTGGCTGTTACGGGTACAGCTATTTTAAGCTCCATGCGTTTCCTGGACTCGCGCTGGCTCGCTTAGCTCAGCGTTTCGGCGAAATGTAATGCAGAAGCTCCGCTGGAGAGAACCTGCTTCAAGGCTATCATTCCGACGACACTACGTTGGTATCCCTTGAACACATGTACGTGTCGAGTCTCAGCTTCAAGCTTGAGCTTGACCCTGAGCGCATTATGTATTGTCTCTACGGGCCGCTGTGAGGCCGACCGGGGTCCTGCTGCGTTCTCCTGGGGCCACCTTGGAGCCGTCTTGGGCCTCTCTGGTCCGCCTGAGAGGTGGAGCGGCCTGTGTGAAGGAAGGAGTGACCGAAGGGCCGATCCCCTCCCGAGTATCCGTCGGTGTAGGCGGTAACGATGAATGAAAGACGATGATGAAGGAGTCGCTCTTGTCCACAACTCCCCTTGCCAATGAAATACCTGTTGCCTAATGCACATTGCGAATCGAACGGGGCAGCGGTACAGAAAGAGTAGGAAAAGTAACGGGATCATTCGCACGGTCTCGAGGCCGTATTGGACCGTCTTTGGCTCTCGTCGACTGTCTGGATCCCCTCCAGGGCCACTCTTGAGCTGTCTTGGGTCCCTCCTGGGGCCTGGAACGTTTCACTAAAGGAGGTCTCAACACTCCCTGTTAGGCCGGTTGGGGGCCTCTTGGAAATGTGTTGGGCACCTCCCAGGAGGCTACCAACGGGCTAAAGCTGAGTCCCGTGCGTGCCAGCCTCTTTTGATCACGAAGTGTTCCAGCGCTTCAGTATTAGACGGAGGACATAAGCATCTCCATCATCATCATCACCATCATCAGCATCATCAGCATCAGCATCAGCATCAGCATCAGCATCATCAGCATCAGCATCAGCATCACCATCATCATCATCAGAATCATCCTCAGCAGCATCATCAACAACATCATCGCCATCATCAGCAACATCATGATCCTGAGCATCATCAGCATAATCCTCATCCTCATCCTCATGAGCAGCACCAGCAGCAACATGATGACAAATATCACCATCACCATTGTTATCATCATCAGCATCCTCATCATCATCAGCATAATCAGCGTCGACATTCCCATCAGCATCATCAGTATTATCATCAACATCGTCGTCGCCCCATTCATAGCATAATCGTCATCGTCGTCGTTATTATCATGAATAGCATCATCATCAACAACATCAGCATCATCATCACCATTACCAACATCATCATTATCATCATCATCGTCATCATCATCAGCATCATCATCATAATCATCAGCATCAGCATCATCAGCGCCATCAACATCATCAGCGTCAACTTCATCATCACCACCATCATATCCTTATCTCATCGCCCTCATCCTCCTCAACCTCATCCGCATCAACAATATCAACAACACAATTGTTGTTCGGGTCTCTTCGGCAAATTGGCACTCTTTTGGGACGTCGTGGGGCCCTCATGGGCTGCACGGACACCCCCACGGAAACTTACATTTGTTACTGGCGATGTGGGGCTGGTTTGGAACACTATGACATATTCTCGAACACGTCAGAAAACCAGGAAGTGGAAGACATTGGGCATACGTAGTGATTGACTGTTGTTGGGTGTCCGAGGTCTCTCATGGGACGTCCAGTTGCGTCTAATGAGGCATCTTGCTGTCCATGTGGCGCAACATGTTATGAATATGCGGCTTGTGATTATTCGACTTCGAATGCCGCTGTCCTCCTCCTCCCCCTCCTCCTGGCACCGGCGGTCGACCGCCGATAGATCGGCGATGCCGAAACCGCACGTTTCCTGGGCCGGAATCGGCTATCGGGACCCACATCGGCGACAAGTGGGCGTTTGGGGGGATCGATGCAACCCCCCCGATCGTCGCCCCTGATCGACTCTTACCGTACCTGGACAAGGAGTTCGAACCCTGCGGCGCAAGATACCCCCTGGACCCCCAAAACCAACATCGAGGGTGCGGCAATGAGAGGGCATGGGCGGACAACAATCAAACCACCACCCATGCCACAATCAGTACTGATCTTGGGACGGAGGGGCGATGATTTTGTGGAGTCCAAAACCCAGATAGCAGGGCGCCAGAAGGGCGAGCGAAGGCCTGTCGACGAACTTTGGAAGCTCCTGGAGAGTGAACTTCTGGAGAGCTTCCGGGCAGACCTATCGGGAAACGCTTAGAAAAGGCCCGATCTCGGGAGCGGGGGGGTGATGAACATCCGCCTCAGGTGTATGAGGGTTCGCATGCCGTGAGGGCTCGACCACAAGAAACCTTCCACAGGAAACCCAACCCGGAGACCCAGGACGTCCATCCCAGGGCACCCTGGAGGCAAGCAGGGTGTTTCTTGGCATGGGCCCCCACTATATGCTCCCCATTCGGAGCCCACCAAAGGAGGGGACCCTGAGGGGGGGGGGGTGAGTTTGATCCGCTGGTGCATCGAATTTCTGGAAACGATGCCCCCCGCGCGCCCCGACTGTCGACGCCTCTTGGGTTCTGGCGGCAGCCGGAGACCTCGTTTTGCATAGTTGTTCTGCGGTTCGATGCGCAAAAACGGACCGAACTCCCCCCCCCCCTGTGCCCCCCCCCCCCCCTTCTTCGCGAGATCCCGACGCATGTTCTCCATGCGCTGGAGAGTCTTGAGCAGGGACCGACCGTCCCGGCATTCCTATAGTCCTACCACGAAATGTTCTTAGAACCCAAAGAAGTTCTAAGAACAAAAACAGTGTTCTTAGAACCGAATCCCGTTGTGTTCAGGCAAGACAGACTCCGCCAGAAATGTTCTAAGAACATTTCGTGGGAACCACAAAACGTTCTTAGAACATTGTCTGGTAGGGCCAAATGCGAGCCAAGACGCTTCGCCACTGCTTGAAAGTCAGGTGACGCTTCGAAAACCTCAGCGCTCCGCCCTGGCCGGCCCGGCCGTGCCGCGGCGGCCGCCGCCTCAAAACTCGCGCGGGCGGCTGCCGCTTCGCGGCACGGCGGTCCGGTGCCCGGACCTCTGCCTGGACATCTGGATGCTCCTGGCCCATCCTTCTCCTCCTCCTCCTCGTCCGCCTCCGCCTCCTCCGCCTCGTCATACTTCTCCTCCTCCTCCTCCTCCGCCTCCTCCTCCTCCTCCTCAATCTCCCCTCTCCTCCTTCTCCTCCTCCTCCTCATCCCCCTCCTCCTCCTCCTCCTCCTCCTCCTCCTCCTCCTCCTTCTCCTCATTCTCCTTCTCCTCTGTCTCTCCTCCTCCTCCTCTCCACCTCCTCCTCCCCCTCCTCCTCTCCTCCTCCTGGTTCCTGATTCCTGACAGCCTGAGGCTTCGTCGAACGCGGCCTCCCTCCTCCTCCTCCTCCTCCGCCTCCTCCTCCTCCTCCTCCTCTTCCTCCTCCTCCTCGTAGCCCTCCTCCTAGTCGTGACCCTTCTCGTCGTCCCGATTCGCACACATGCGGCCCCTCGATGCACATCCCTCCCCCTGCAGCCGCACGCTGCTGCCCTGCTCCTCCCAACCAGCCTGAGGCCTGGGCCTTTTCCTCACGCCCCTTCTTGAGACGAAGCCAGGACGAGGATATGATCGGTCAAGGATATATCAAGGATGGCTGAAAACCGACGGCTCTGGAGGACGTCTCGGGCGCCGCGGCCTTCTCCGAGCGTGTTCCGGAACGCTCTGGAACGGCCTTATCCTAGTCATAGCCCCGTCCGACTTCTCCCTCCTCAGGGCGAGGATGACATCATGATAATATTGGCTCAGGGTGCGCTCCACGACTTCCAGAGTATCTAGCGGCCCTCGTTTCTGCAGCCCGTGTGGAGCATCAGGGGATCCAGGAAATCCTTGAAATCTTGGGATCATCATTATCATGACCTCTTGCTCCTCTGACTCTCCCTCCTGCCCCTGGCGCTCGCCTGTCCATCAGGGAAATGAGCTGCTTCCGGACGTCCTGGGACCGCCGCAGGGCGCGGGCCTGGATGAAGTTCTCGTAGCACCAGGGATTGGAGAACCTGTTGTGCGCCCAGCCCTTGTAGACCTGCGGCTCAGGGGCCCAGAGGGGCACCTTAGGGTCCCTGCTGGCTCCAGAAGGGGCCTTCGATGGCCCCTTCGAGGCCCGCTTCTTCACCCCCCATTTAATCGGAGGCGAGCCCGGAGGGGAAGCAAGAGGGGGCGGGCCTTCTCAGAAGGCTCGGGAATCCCCGAGCCTTCTCATTGCACCGGCCTCGCAGACGTGCTGCAGCGGAGTTTTGCATGGATTTCTGCGTGGATGTTTTCCCGAAGCGGCGAGCGAAAAACGAAAATAATTTCGCGTGGGTTTTTTGTTGGTCTTCATTTCTGGCAGAAAATCCGCACGAAATTCACTTCGAATTTCGGAACGAAATTCTGCAGGACACTCCGGGCCCATCCTATCTTTTTCCAAACGAAATCCGCTCAGCAATGTTGGCGCCATGAGCCTTCTGAAAAATTGCCCAAGCCTTCCCCGAATACGAGGAAAACCTCTCAGAAGGCGCGAGGGCTTCGGAGAAGCCCCGCCGCCTTCCGAGAGGGCCGTCTGTTCCTCACTTCCCCCCGCGCCCGCCGCCGAACGATCTGGACGTCCGAAATGGCTACGGAAAAAAACAAGCACGAGGCCCCACAACACATGCTGTCCAAACTCGACAGGGGCCGCCGTTGGGCCGGCGGCCTTCCCTCTCAGGTGGACCACGGCCGCGGCGACGCCAACGGCAAGCTCTGTCCAGAGCGTACGGGAACTGCGCTCGAGCATACCGCCAACCCGTAGAGTAAGGACGCGCGGGAAGGATGCAAGGGCCTTGGAAGGCCGCGTCGAAGCTTGTTGAGCGGGGCGCGGCCAACGAAAGCGGCCAAGGATAGGCCGAGGAGGCAAGGATGCAAGGGTACCCCTGGGAAGGTTGCCCATCCTTACTATGCGGGTTGACTGTAGTACCCATTTTTGTCGCACCCCATTGCCACACGCCCGACTGCGGCTTGAGGCTACCACTGAGCGCCTGGGCGGCTTCGGGCGAGGACCTGCGCGTCAGGCCAAGCCCTGGCGCGGCCGGGGAAGCGCTGCGTGGCGGCACCGACGGCTCATGAGCGGCAGAACACCCATATCCGCGCCCCTACGATCCAGATTCCGAGGCGCGATCCCGCGTAGAAAGCGGTCGCATCTTGTCCGTACGCATTATTTCCGTATGTTTTTGTGGAATATGTTGAACAGGGACCGACGCCCGGCATTCCTACAGGCTTGTAGGCCTACCACGGCATGCTCTCAATACACAAAGGTGCTCTACTACGAGCAACAACAACACCAACAACAGCAACAGCAACAACAACAATAAAAAAACAACAGCAAGAAAACCAATAACAACAACAATAACAACAACAGCAGCACCAACAACAACAGCAACAACAACAACAACAACACCAACAACAACACCAGCAACAACATCAACATCAACATCAACAACAACAACAAAAACAACAACAACAACAACAACACCAACACCAACAACAACAACAACAACCATTTAAGACTGGGGACACTCCGTTCTCACCAGTGCCAGGGTTTTCATAGGAGGCGGGCAATACCCCCACTTTGTGGGGGGGCCGGTTCAAGCTCTACCAAGTTTCCAAACGACTCTTCGCCACCACCCACACCCAGCTTCCCGCCCTATGACGTTCGGACACTTCACTTCGTGGCCTGCGGACGACCTTGGCTACTACACTGGCGCATGGTTACAATGACTTCTTGTGGTAACATCTTGTGGAAACTAGCTTAGTATACGACTTATACCCCTGTTCCAACAATGGGCACGTGTACCGTTTTCCGACGTTTTAACGTTTCTGTACCACACAAGCCAAGACCCTTATTTTGACTGGTATCACGTGCGTGGCGCCAGCATACCACAGGACTTGTTTCCGTTGTTGTGAGACGATATATGCTCATTCTTGTTCTGTGGTTCTCGTTCCGGCCTCAATGTGCAATACTGGCTCACTCGTCGACGAAATACACGTGACTACCTCTCTCTGGTTGGAGGTCCTGATGGTTGTGGTTGTCCCGATAATTGTCGCGATGAGTGTCCCGATGATTGTCCCGATTGTTGTTCCGATGGTTCTCCCGATGGTTGCCCCGATGGTGGTCCCGATCGTTGTCCCGATGGATGTCCCGATGGTTGTCCCGATGGTTGTCCTGATGGTTGTGGTTGTCCCGATCGTTGTCCCGATGGTTGTCCCCATGGTTGCCGCGATGGTTGTTCCGATGGTGGTCCCGATGGTTGTCCCCATGGGTGCCCCGCCGGAGGAGGAGGAGGAGGAGGAGGAGCAGCAGGACAAGGCGAGGCGGACGCATACGTGCTCTGGAAGCATACTAAAGAGACGAGTCTGTGTGCTCATCGTCTTCTGGCATGCGCCTGTCCCTAATGGCACGCATCGGGCGCAATACTGGCGTAAACCAATGGCGCAACCTATGGCGCAACCAATAGGGGAGCGTTTTATTCTCGGCGGCCGAGGGCGCAACCTATGGCGCAACCGCAAGGGATTATGGCCCCTGGCAGGCGCGCGAACCCCGTTGCAAGAGCGTGCGAAAGTAGCTCGCGCGAGCTCATGTAACATAAATGTTGGAAAACCATTGGTTTTTTTAGGATTCGGACAGCGCGCGCGGGTGGAAATTTTGAAAAGTCGTGCAGGTGTTTTTCGAGGACCTACGGTGCGATTCGTGTGATTTTATGATGCGCGGTGCTAAAATTCTTAAGAACCCAATGGTTTTTGGAGATTTCGGCGTGCGCGCGCGAAGAAAAAACGAATGTGTCCCGCATGGTATTATTTGACAGGGATGATGGCCCTGGCAGGTGCGCAACCGTTGTCGCAGAAGTTCGAAAAAGTTGCTCGCAAAAGCCCGTTTGACAGAAATGTTTAAAAAGTGTTGGGTTTCCTACGAATCCGCAAGAGCGCGCGGGATGAGATTTTGACATTTTTTTGTTGAAAAACCATTGGTTTTTTGATGTTTTTATGTTAAAATCGCTGCGAACACTAAGGTTTTGGAAGGATTTCGTCTTGCGCGCGCGAATGTCCACTTTACCTTATTTTTTGCAAGGGATTCTTGAAATTTGATTATATTAGAACAAGAAATGTCATTTTATAGTGTTTTTTTTGCAAGGGAAAACGGATTACAACAAAACAACCGGATCTGGATCACATCGTTTTACCTGAGGCTTCCTCACGAAAATGATGAAAACGTGGCTGCGGCCTAGGCGCGGCGGGGGGGGGCGTGCACCAGGGGGCCCAACAATAATTATTCTTTAGAAGTAATAATATTCAACAACAACAACAACAACAACAACAACAACAACACCAACAACAACGTCAACAACAACAACAACAACAACATCCACAACAACCACAACAACAACAACAACACCAACAACAACAACAACAGCAACAACAACAACGACGGCAACAGCAACAGCAACAGCAACAGCAACAGCAACAGCAACAGCAACAGCAACCACAACCACAGCAACAGCAACAACAGCAACAACAACAACAGCACCGACCGAACAACAGAGAGCCGACTGCCGGTCACACCCCCATTGCCACCCGCCCGAGGTGTGCCGAGTGCAGTCCACACACATGACCCCCGACCTCGTGATTTTTTGTTCACAACGTCGACCCCCAAAGGTCTCGACCCCTTCCCCGGGACCGGCTTCTCATCCCGAATCGTTGGTTGACGGTCTCGAGGCTCGGTGAGGGCCCCCGAAGACTGAAAACGGCGGCAAACTCCCGTCGTGGTTCTTACCCAACGCGAGGGAGAGAGGAGGAGGAGGAGGAGGAGGAGGAGGAGGAGGAGGAGGAGGAGGAGGAGGAGGAGGAGGAGGAGGAGGAGGAGGGAGGAGGGAGGAGGGAGGAGGAAGGAGACTTCGGCGACGACGACGACGACGACGACGTCGACGACGACGACGACCTCCGAGGTCTCCCCGCGCGCGCGCGCGCCCTGGCGTCTGCCTCTCGCAGGCCCGCGGCAGCGGCGGTTGAGGATCGGCAACGGCAGGCGCCCGACTTCGCGCCCTCGCGCCCTCGCGAAGCGCCGCCACCATGGGAGAAGAAGGTCGGGGGCGGCCAAGAGGGGGGGTATAAATCATGGCCTGCGGCATGTGCGCAGCCCAAGGGGGGGCCAGGGACGTAATGAAATAAGAGGAGGCGCCATGAATTCTAGGGAAATATCATGGCCCACGCCATGATATCCCCCCCCCCCTAGTCATCACCCTCCTCTTTACCGCCCCCGAGAAGATGGAGGACTGGAAGTGGGCTCCAACACCAACGCAAGGGGGTGCCTCCACAGGGGGAAGATGATCCTAGATCTCGGTGTTGGTGGTGATAGTTCGGCCACCCTGGAAGCCAGAATATTACCACCATCCCCGAGATCGGGATCTTCTTCCCTCGGTGGAGGCACACCGCCGGTATTGGTGTTGGTGTCAGCCTCTAGGCATGCGATGATTGAACGGGATCGGAGCCGAACCGCGAAGCGCGAGGAACTTCGCGCCCTCGAGGACGCCCCTGCAGCGACCGGAGCAGCATCGGAATCCGAGGGGGCGGGGGCAACCTCGCAGGAAGTCGGGAAACAACTTCTAGGAGGGAGGTCGTTGCGACCACGATCTAGAGCTACCATGCCCGACGAAGAAACACCAGGCCAGAACGGGCAGGATGAAACGGGGGTTCAGCCACACTGATTTGGATTGAGCCAGATTGCTCGGCATTGCCCGACAGTGCTCATGTTTCCGACCATGGATATACCAGCGCCGATGCTGCGTTGAAACGCCCTGTAATTGCATCCTAAGTGACACGAGCACAACCATAATGAGTAGGCGGGATAACACCGCAGGTAACTACGTCCTCCCTGCCGGGAGCAGGAGGAGGAGGGAGGGGAAGGAAGAGGAGGAGGAGGAGGAGGAGGAGGAGGAGGAGGAGGAGGAGGAGGAGGAGGAGGAGGAGGAGGAGGGGGGGGAGAAGTGGCAGGAAAGACGATAGTATAGTTGATGGAGGGATGAAAAAACAGCCTACCCTGGGTTACAAGAGCGTGGTCCGCCAATCTGAGCTCTCACAGGCCAGAGAGCCGCCAGGTGATCGTTTTTTCATTCTTCGTTTCGACATCGGAAAAAAGGGTGGGGGGTCTGGCTCCGGACCTCTGCTTAGTGCGACTGTTTGCGGCAGTGCGTCCCATACAGGTGCCCAAAAACAGTCAAGATCTACTCCACGGGGGGGGGTGGGGGGGGGGTGCGAGGGCCCGCGCCATCGGCAAGACAATGAATCACAAAAAGTATCACCTGGACGCCGCGAGACACGCGCGTTTCGCAGGGCTCACCCTGACAGCCCACAGCCCGCAGGAGGTTCAGCGCACGGCGCCTCGTGAGCCATGGCAGGGGCGTTTGTTCAGCGCCCCGGGGCTGCGGCGCACCTGCGGCCCGTGAGCACCTGCAGACCGCTGCTGAGCAGCAGACGCGTGGCCTGGCAGCTGCTGCCGTGGATCTGCGTCGGCGACGGATGTGGCGGAGGAGGACGTGCGGGAGGGCAGAGGCGACCCCCGCCAGAGGGCCTCATCCTCCTCCTCCTCAAACTCCTCGTATTCCTCCTCCTCCTCCTCCTCCTCCTCCTCCTCCTCCTCCTCCTCCTCCTCCTCCACAACTACACAATATGAGTACTACTCTCCTCTCTCCCCTGGTGGCGTCCGGGGAATGTCCGCCCCCCCCTCCCCCCGCGTACTGTTTTTTTGCACGAAGGATTCCCCGGAGTTGGGTTTTCGCATATATTTTTTCAAAATGCAGCTCTCGCTGCAGCGCTGGCCTCATTTCCGCCCTTCTGCTCGCTCCGAATCGTGCTCCCGCTGCAGCGCTGGCGTAACTATTTCTAGCGTCATGCCCTGGCATGGATTTCGGTCATTCCATGTAGTCCCAAAGTCTAGAAAATGGACCCTCGAAGAATCCATCGGAAGTGATTACAGATTCGATGTCGATTCGTTGATTTCCTGGGCCGCGGAAGCCCCTCCTCCCCCACTTTGGAACGTCGCCACGCCATGCTATGTCAGGCTACGCGTCAACATTTCCACTTCTGCGCTTCCGCGCGGAATTGTTTTCAAAATGCTGCTCTCGCTGAAGCGCTGGCCTCATTCTCGGGCTACCGCTCGTTCCGAATCGTGCTCCCGCTGCAGCGCTAGCGGCGCTGGCCTCATTTCCGCGCTTCCGCTCGTTCCGAATCGTGCTCCCGCTGCAGCGCTGGCGTAACTATTTCCAGCGCCATGCCCTGGCATGTTTTTTGGCCCGTCCAACTAGGTCCCAAAATGTAGAAAATGCACCCCGAAGAAACCATCGGAAGTGACTGCACATTCGGTGTAGATTCGTTGATTTTCTGGGCAGCGCAAGACCCCCCCCACCTTAGGGTGTCGCCACGCCATGCTATGTCAGGCTACGCGTCCTCATTTCCGCGCTTGCGCGCGGAAGTGTTTTCAACATGCTGCTTTCACTGAAGCGCTGGCCTCATGTTCGGGCTACTGCTCGTTCCGAACCGTGCTCCCGCTGCAGCGCTAGTAGCGCTGGCCTTATTTCCGCGCTTCCGCTCGCTCCGAATCGTGCTCCCGCTGCAGCGCTGGCGTCATCATTTCGAGTGCCATGCCCCGCCATGGATTTCGGTCCTTCCAAATAGGCCGCAAAATGTAGAACATGCCCCCCCCCCTGAAGAAACCATGGGAAATGATTCCACATTCGGTGTCGATTCGTTGATTCTTTGGGCCACAGAAGCCCCCCCACCTTGGGGCGTCGCCACGCCATGCCATGTCATGCTACGCGTTGTTCTTCGACACCATGTTATGCCATGCCATGCTATGCCATACTAAGACATCCGATTATGCGAATAGGAAGAGATCTACGCCATGTCATGGGACTGGAGGAAGGGGCAGGACTTCAGATATGCCGGGAGCGCACCTAGCTTGTTCCTCCTTCCCATCCCCCTCCCCCTCCTCCTCCTCCTCTTCCTCCTCCTCCCCCTCCCCCTCCTCCTCCTCCTCCTCCTCCTCCTCCTCCTCCTCCTCCTCCTCCTCCTCAGCTCCCCCGGGGCCGCGGGAGAGAGGGCGCCTCCAGGAGCGTGCAGTGGTCTCCCTCCGGCTGGTGGAACCGGGCCTTCTTCTGGTCGGCCATGGCCTGCTTGTCCTGGAGGAGAGGAGGGAGGGGAGAGGAGGGAGGAGGGAGGATCGAGGCGGTGAGGAGGAGAGGAAAGGGAGGGGAGGGAGAGGGGAGGGAGAGGAGAGGATCGAGGCGGTGAGGAGGAGAGGAGGGAGGAAGGTGGAGCGTCTTCAGTGTCCCACCTCCCCCACCTACGCAGGCGCGCCGCTCGAAGCGACCGTCACCTGTCTGCCCAGTCGCTGCCGCGTTTCCCCCTGACCAAGCCGCTCTTCCCTCATCTCATCCCGCCAACAACCAGCGCGCGCTACCAACTGTGGGGGAGGATCCTTCCGGACTGTTGGTGGGGGCGGTGGATAACGCCCAACGCTGGCTGTCCTGGCAAGGGCCACGGCTGCCGCGTCCAGTGGACACGCTACTGCCGTGCCAACCGTCTGCGCAGCAATCCGATAGCCACGAACCCACCAGCATGCATGGAGAAGCTCAGGCAGGCAGTTCACAGCAAGCCTCTCGCCACCTCAGCAACACGCAGTCACCACTACGCGGGCAGCTTGGATTATGCGGTCTTGGGGGGTGGGGCATGCTCCGGATGAAATTCGCAAACTCTCTTGTCGAATTCATCTGTCAATACCCCCCCCATGATCAATGTTGGCGGTGGGTGGAACGAGCTGCACTTCGACCACAATCTTCTCCGCGCGTGCCAACTTGGAATTGGGGGAGCGGGGGGGGATCCACTGAATGCTTCCCTCTACACCGGAACTACGATCCGTCCTGTGACAGCCGCCCAAGAGTAGCGTTAGGCCGGGCATGTCCTCCTACAGGCGGATTTGGGACGAACATGAACAATGCGCAAACATAGCCCGACTTAACAATGCCGCAAACCTCCCTACGCCTGGTGAGGAGGCAGAGGAGGAGGAATATGAGGAGGAAGAGAAGGAAGAGGAGGAGGAGGAAAAGAAGGAAGAGGAGGAGAAATAGGAGGAGAAGGAAGAGGAGGAGGAGGTGGAGGAGGAAGAGGAGGAAGAGGAGGAATAGGAGGAGGCGGAGGAGGAGGAATAGGAGGAGGAATAGGAGGAAGAGGGGGAGGAGGAGGAGGAGGAGGAGGAGGAGGAGGGGAAGGAGGAGGAGGAGAAGGAGGAGAAGGAGGAGGAGAAATAGGAGGAGGAATAGGCAGAGGAGGTGGAGAAGGAGGAGGAGGAGGAATCAGAGGAATAGGAGGAGGCGTGGACCGATGCGACCTCAGGGAGGCAAGGCCGACCTGAGGGTCCAGTTAGGAAGAGGAGGAGGAGGAGAAGGAGGAAGAGGAGGAGGAGAAGCAGGAGGAGGAGGAGGACAGGAGGAACGCAAACCTGCCATCGCGCGACCCTGGGCTCCTCTCTGGGAGCCCCTGCGCCTGCCTCGGCGGGCGACAGGAGCCCCCCTTGAGGAACCTCGAGGGACGCGCTCTGGGGGACTCCTGCGCCTCCTCCGCCTCCTCCTCATCTTCTTCTTCTTCTTCAAAGTATGATGATTACTATTAGTAACAGTAGTATTATTCTTAGTAGTAGTAGTATTAGTCTTCTTCTTATTACTAGTATCCTTATTATTATGCTTCATCTTATTAGTATTATTATTCTTCTTCTTCCTCTTCCTCCTCCTCCTCCTCATCCTACTCCTCCTCTTCCTCCTCCTCCTCGTCCTCGTCCTCGTCCTCGACCTCGACCTCGTCCTCGTCCTCCTGCTCCTGCTCCTGCTCCTCCTCCTCCTCCTCCTCCTCCTCCTCCTCCTCCACAAGTACACAATATGAAAATACTCTCCCACTTCCCCTGATGGCGTCCGGAAGATATTCGGCACCCCCCCGCGTACTGTTTTTTTACACACAGGATTCCCCGGAGTTGGGTTTTCGCTTGTGTTTTTTCAAAAATGCTGCTCTCGCTGAGGCGCCGGCCTCATTTCTGCTCCCGAATCGTTCCGAATCGTGCTCCCGCTGCAGCGTGGGCCTCATTTTCGGATCCGTGTTTGGCCTCCGTCGTTCAGGATGGCGTTCTCGCCCCAGCGCGGGCCTTTTTCTCGCGCGCCCATCCGCCCGCCACCACCGCGCCGCACCGCCACCACCACCACCACCACCACCACCACCACCACCACCACCACCACCACCACCACCACCACCACCACCACCACCACCACCACCACCAGCACCAGCACCAGCACCAGCACCAGCACCAGCACCAGCACCAGCACCAGCACCAACACCAGCACCAACACCAGCACCAGCACCAGCACCAGCACCAGCACCAGCACCAGCACCAGCACCAGCACCACCACGACAACCACGCACACACGCACGCACGCACGCACGTGCACCACCACCCAGTACGCACGCGCGCGCGGAGCCACAGGTCCGCTACGACACGCGTCCGCGGATAGAGAAAATCAGCGCCATGGTAAGGGATGGGAGGGAGGGGTAGGACGTCAGATATGACGCGAGCGCACCTAGCTTGCCCTCCTCCCCTCCCCCGTCCCCCGTCCCCCGTCCCCCGTCCCCCGTCCCCCGTCCCCCTCCCCCTCCCCCTCCCCATGTCCCTGCCCCTGCCCCTGCCCCTGCCCCTGCCCCTCCCCTTCCTCCTCCTCCTCCTCCTCCTCCTCCTCCTCACTCCTCCTCCTCCTCCTACTCCCCTCCTCCTCCTCCTCTTCCTCCTCATTCCTTCGGGCCCGCTCCGCCTACGCTCCGCCTCTGGGGCCTCCTCCTCCTCCTCCTCCTCCTCCTCCTCCTCCTCTTCCTCCCCCCTCCCGCCTCCCCTCCTCCCCCCTCCTCCTCCTCTCCTCCTCCTCCCCCTCCTCACTCCTCCTCCTCCTCTCCTCATCCTCATCCTTCCTTCTCCCCCCGTATTCCTTCTCCTCCCTTCCTCCTCCCCCTCCTCCTCCTATAGCTAGACCTCGGCTGCTCACTTCTTGTCGAGGCGTGGGCCAGGAGGTCCAGGACCACTCCCCCAGGGCCAATGTTTGATCCTCCCGAGCCGATTTTTCGACGCCTGCGAGTCCCGGCGAGGGCCCCCCGGAGAGCGAAAAGTGTCAAACAATCCCGCTGTTCAAGTCAGGACTCCTCCTCCTCCTCCTCCTCCTCCTCCTCCTCTCGATCTCACTTCCTCTCTCCTCCTTCTCCTCCTCCTCCTCCTCCTCATCTCCTCTGCCCTCCTCCTCCTCCCTCCTCCTCCTCCTCCTCCCCCTCTCCTCCCCCTCCTCCTCCTCCTCCTCCTCTCCTCATCCTCATTCCTCCTCCCCGGCCCACCCCGCCTCTACTCCTCCTCCCCCTCTCCTCCCCCTCCTCCCCCTCCCCCTCCTCTGCTCCTCTCCTCCCCTCCTCCCTCCTCCTCCTCTCCTCCTCCTCTCCTCCTCCTTCCTCCTCCTCCTCCTCCATTTCCTCTCCTCGCGGCCCAACCCCGCCTCTTCCTCCTCCTCCCCCTCCTCCTCCTCCTCCTCCACCTCCTGTTCCTCCTCCTCCTCCCTCCTTCTCCCTTCTCCTCCCTCTCCCCATCCCTCTCCTCCTCCTCCTATAGCTAGACCTCCGGCTGCTCTACTTCTTGTCGAGGCGTGGGCCCCGGAGGTCCAGGACCACTTCCCTGGGGCCGGTTGTTGTTCCTCCCGAGCCGTTTTTTGACGCCTCCGAGGCCTGGCGAGGGCTCCTCGGAGGCCGAAAAGCGCCCAAAAATGCCGCCGCTCGAACTGTTTTTTTGGAGCGCCGGCTCTCCGGATGGTGGAAGGCGAAGGGCCCCCGTGCCACCCCACCTCTGGCGAGCGCGGTCACTGCCGGCGCCCCGTCGGCTCCGCCCCATCGCCGCCTGCCCCACCACGTCGCGTGGGCGGCCACCCCCACCTCTTCCAGCTCCAGACTGGATTGGGACGCACGGAGACATACTGATACTATATGTCCTCCTTGGAGGCGCGTGACCGACCCGAGCATATAGTATACCCATCCTGCAGTAGATCGTTTCCCAAACGGTGTGGCAAGAAAATGCCCAACACGACGCATATACTATCCGTAAGATTTCTCGGTGCGCGCGTCGCCCCGGGAGGGCGACGCACATATAGTATACGTATGTTTGGGTGACGCCGATGGATGGGGGTGGGGTGCTTTCGGCCCTCAAGAGGGCTCGAAAAGGGACCGCTCTCGTTGCTCCATTTCCTCTGCTCTACGCCTCTTCCTCCTCTGCTTCCTCCTCGGGGGAAGCAGAGCTCATACTTCCCCCCCCCTCTCTCCGTTCGGCTGGACCTAGGACAGAAGAGCATCCTTCAAGTCGGCGGCGAGCGAGGGGGGGGGGGGAAGTGAGAGGGGGCGGGCCTTCTCAGAAGGCTCGGAAGGTCCCCGACCTTGAGAAAGGTTCGAAGCCTTCCCCGAGGACACGCAAGACTGCTCAGAAGGTGCAAGGACTTCTCCTTCTCACTCCCTTCCCTCTCGCCGCCGAACAGAGCAACACCATGCAAGAACACGAGACCCTCCGCCGACCGAGCTGGAGAACACTCGAGGGCGCCCGAGCCCAGGGTGCCCGATAACATCCGACAAACACGAAGTGCACCAAGGCACCCTCCCCGAAACGGCCTCGATCTTATGCCTCGGGCCGGTCGTGCCTACCTCCTCAGGATAGCTAATCACAGCGTCGTCTCCGCCGTCTTGGCGCTCCCTCACTTCCCCCCCCCCCTTCCCCCTGGGGCTGCTGGGGGGGCTTGGCCACCCCGCCCGCGGGGGTTCTCCGGGTGCCCGCGGTCGCTCTTCTCTTGTGGACATTTTTTCTTCTTCGGCGTTTCTGAAAGAACCCTGGGACACACAAATACATACACGCAAATAACAGGATTCCCCATAGTTCCCCATATGTTCTGGTGTTTGTCTTCCCCCCACTTCCTATATTTTCCCATATTTTCTGGGGAACCGACGATTAATAGTGTCTGTGTTTTTGTTCCCTCCTGAATTTTTTCTTATTCGGCGTTCCGGCATTGGGCAGAAAGGAGAGGAAGGGAGGGGGGGGGAGGGTCTGGCTCTGGACCTCTGCTCAACGCCACGGCTTTGCTTGCAACAGTGTGCCCCGTGGGGGAGAGACTCCGCCTGCTCGAAGCGGGCGCCCAAAACAAGCCAAGCTCTACTCCATCGGGGGTGGAGGAGGGGGTGGAGGGCCCGCGCCGGATCGGCAAAACAACGAACAGGACAACACTTAGGTCGGGTATGTCCCCCCTTACCAGCGGACTTGCGACGCAGAAGAAAACATAGTCAACAAAAAGCTAAACAATGTTCAAATAGTCGAGCAATCCTCCCCAGACTGTCGGCGGTGGACAAACCTCCCTTTAGTAAACCTCCCCTCAATGAAAACGGCCTGGGACGGAAACCGACGGACCTGGACCCGTAAAAATGACGGCCGCGACGCCCTCTCGCGAGCCGAAAACGGTCAATTCCCTAATCGACGTGTCAGGGTAGGAGGTCTGTCCACCCTCGATAGTCGAGCAATCCTCCCCACACTTGTTTTTGACTGCAAGGACACGCCCGATTTGAAACAACGATTGGGTCGGGCATGTCCCCCTATATCAGCGGATTTGCGACGCAGAATAAAACATAGCCAACGACAACGACGATGACGACATCGACGACGACGACGACGACGACGACCACGACGACGACGACGACGACGGCGACGACGACGACGCTCTCCGGACGACTCGTCCGAGCACCCCGCCCCAGGGGCGGCCGCCCCTCGGGGGGGGAGGGGAGGCCAGCGTCGCCGAGGCACGGATGCCATCGGCAGGCGACCCGCGGAGGAGGGATGACGACGAGGAGGACGAGGGAGGAGGGCAGCTCGAGGACCGAGCGAGGAGGAGGGATGACGAGGACGAGGGAGGAGGGCAGCTCGAGGACCGCGGTGGTGGATGCTTGGGCATCTCGACCCCCGATCCGGCTGTGCCCACTTGTGCGATCGCCAAGTCCGCAACAACACATGGTTTGGCGTCTTGAAAGCTTCTGGGAGCCTTCAGGGACCGAGGGAAGGGAGGGACGAGGGAGAGGAGGGAGTGAGAAAGAACGAGGGAACAAGATAGAGAATAAAGGAGGAGGACGAGGAGAATGAGGAGGAGGAGAAGGAGGAGGAGGAGAGAAGAGGAAGGGATAAGGAAAGGAATGAGGAGGAAGAGAACCGAGGAGAAAGAGGAGGGACGGGAGGAATGTCCAGCAGTCCTTCGGACGGTAGAAGACGTTCTGAACTGAGAGCATGGCTACGATCGTCATGATCTCATCGCTACATCTCAGGTCCACGGCGGTGAGCAGCATCTTGGACAGATTCGGCTCCATGGGGAACTCCGCCATCTGTGCAACGCTAGAGAGACGGATAGATAACATAGAGAGAGAGAGAGAGAGAGAGAGAGACCGAGAGATAGAGGGAGGCGAGCGTTTTCTAATGCGGCGTTTCGACATTGGGCGGAGGGGGGGGAGGGGGGGGGGTCTGGCTCCGGACCTCTGCTCAGTGCGACTGTTTGCAGCAGCGCGTCCCATGGGGGAGGCTGCACCTGCTCGAAGCAGGCGCCCCCAAAACAGCCAAACTCTGCTCCATTGGGGGGGGGTGAAGGGGGGAGCGCGAGGGCCCGCGCCGATCTGCAGAACGAGGAATACAAAAACGATCACAAGAGAGAGGGCGATGCAATCTGAAGGGGCCCAAAGGACACACAACTAAAGACACACAAATAAAAAAGGGTTCCCCATACTTTCCAACATTTTCTGGGTGTTTGTCTTCCCCCCCACTTCCCATATTTTCACATACTTTCCTGGGAAAGACGAATGATTGTGTCGTTGTGTTTCCCTCGGGACGAGCGACAGCTCCCCCCCCCCGAGACGTGCGGCGCCGACCGAGGGCCCCCCGGAGCGGCGCGCCGCGCGGAGAGGCGAGCGGGGGGAGCGAGACCCTCGACATGACGGGGCGAGGACGACGGTGGCATCATGACGGGTCCTCCTCCTCCTCCTCCTCCTCCTCCCTCCCTCCCTCCCTCCCTCCCTCCCTCCTCCATCCTCCCGCCCTCCCTCCCTCCCTACCTCCCTCCCTCCCTCCCTCCCGCCCTCCCTCCCTCCTACTCCCTCCTCACTCCCTCCCTCCTCCTCATCCTCCTCCTCCTACCTCCTCCTCCTCTCCTCCTCCTCTCCCTCCTCCCTCCCTCCCTCCCTCCCTCCCTCCCTCCCTCCCTCCCTCCCTCCCTCCCTCCCTCCCTCCCTCCCCTCCCTCCCTCCCTCCCTCCCCCTCCCTCCCTCCCTCATCCTCCTCCTCCTCCCTCCTCCTCCCACCTCCCCTTCTCCTCCTTCCTCCTCCTCCTCCTCATCTCCTCCTCCTCACTCCCTTCTCCTCCTCCTCTCCTCCTCCTCCTCCTCCTTCCTCCTACTCCTCCTCCTACTCCTCCTCCTGATCATCATCCTCCTCCCTCCTCCCTCCACCTCCTCCTCCTCCTCCTCCCTGCCCCCCCCGAGTCAGCAGACAGGGTGAGGGAGACAATGATATCCTGCTGCAACCAACCCGTATCACGAGGATGCGCGGTGAAGACGCAAGGGCCTCGAAGTCCCACGGGAACGTGTTTCGAGCGAGGCTGGCCAGCGAAAGAGGCCGAGTGTGGGCCGGGGAGGCAAGAATGACTGCCAGGGTACCCTCGGGAAGATCCCCCATCCTTACCATGCGGGTTGGCTGTAGTTGGCTCAGACTGAGGATGCGCTTCAGGATTCACAGGAGGAGGAAGAGGAGGAGGAGGAGGAGGATGAGGAGGAGGAAGAGGAGGAGGA